GGCAAAGAAAGATGTAGAGACTCCATCTTCTCTTCCTTCCATATCAGAGAGCTCTGCCAAACCAAGCAAGATCCCTTTATCCTGCACTTAACTTCCTTTGGCCTTTGTTTTCTCCTCCTCCTTCTGATGCTTTGGGATGGTTCCAAGGCAGGAGTCCAAGAGACCAAAAAGAGATACAAGTGAAATGTTTGGGAAACTCAGTAAAATAATTTGGGGCAATTTACTTAACTTCTTTGAGCATTAGATTCCTAATCTACGTAATAAGATTTATGTGCCTCACAGAGTCACTGAGGTGTAAATGCTATAAGACATAAAGAGTGTGAACTATGATGGGGGCCCCATTTCTCTCCTGCCTTTATCCTTTTATTTACCTTTGGCAACCACTAATCTGTTCTCTATTTTCATATGTTGCCATTTTAGGAATACTGTAAAAGGAATAATACTCTATGTAATGTTTTGGAATTGGCTTTTCCCCCCAGCATTTTGGTTTTTTTCTCCAACATTTTCTGGAGAATCATAAAGAAAATTAAAAACAATTGATTCTATCAATATCTGAGTTTTCTTAACTATTGAGTAGCATCCTATGCTATGGATATACTTTAGTTTAAATATACAACAGTTGAAGAATATCTGGGTTGTTTTCAGGTGGGGCTATTGTGAATAAAGCTACTATAAACATTGTATACAGTTTTCATGTGAACATTTGCTCTCATTTTTCTGGGATAAATGCATAGAGTGCAAGTACTAAGTCATATGTTAATCAAGTGATCAGTTTTTTTAAAAGAAACTCTCAAACTGTTTTCTAGAGTGGTAACCACATCTTACATCACTGCCAGAAATGTATGAATTATACAGTTTTTGTGCATCCTTGTCATCATTTAAAGTTGTCACTATTTTTAATTTTAGTGTTTTTGGTAAGAGTATAATGATGTCTTGTGGTTTCCTTTGCATTTGGATCCTAAATAACAATCTTCTAGGTAATCAATGGATTATAGAAGCAATCTCAAAAGATTTTAAAGTACATTGAATGAAAATGAAAGTAGCATTGGATAAAAGTCATAATTTGGTGGGACATAGCTAAAGCAATGCCAAGAAAAATTTTATGGCACTAAAAACACATTTCTGAAAAATGGAAATTCTAAAATTGACACTTTAAGAACTTAGAAAAATAAGAAGAGTAATATCAACACAAAGCAAACAGGAAGAAAAAAATCATGAAAGAGCAGAAATCAATGAAAGTAGAAACAAAAAAACAAAAAGAAAATTACTGAAACAAAGAGCAGGTTTTATGAAAAGAATAGTAAACTTTACAAACCTTTAAAAAGATTACAAATAAAAAAGAAGACACAAATTATCAATTTAAGGAATGAAGCAAGATGAATAATAGGACCAACATAAATTCTGAATAAATAAAAAGGATAGTAAATGAATATTGTGAACAGTTCTGCACACACCACTTTAACAATTTAGAAGAAATCAACCAATTTGTTTAAAAATAGAAACTATTACAATTCATCCAATATAAAATAGACCATTTTAAAAGTCTGATAATTATTAAACATAAATGCTTAGTCTAAAAGCTCTAAAAAGATGCTGGGCGTTGTGGCGCACACCTGTAATCCCAGCGGCTCAGGAGGTTGAGGCAGGAGGATCATGAGTTCCAAGCCAGCCTCAAAAAAGCAAGACACTAAACAACTCAGTGAGACCCTCTCTCTAAATGAAATACAAAATAGGGCTGGGGATGTAGCTCAGTGGTCACGTGCCCCTGAGTTCAATCCCCGGTACCAAGTGAAAAAAAAAAAAAAAAGAAATATCTTGACCTATATGGTTCACCAGAGAAGTGTTTAAAGAACACTAATACTACATAATCCCTTCCAGAAAACAGGAAAAAAGAAAAAACTTTCCACTTCATTTTATAATCTGATGTTACCCTGATACAAAAATTGAAGAAAGGGCAAAAATAAAAATTATAGATAATATTTGTTGTTAATATAAACAAAATATTAAAACATAATTCAGCAATATATAGGAAAAGTTATATACTGTGAACACATGTCCTGTATTCAAGAGATGTAGACTGAATGTCTGAAAATCTTTATGAAGGACAAAATCGGGCCTGGGGATGTGGCTCAAGCGGTAGCGCACTCACCTGGCATGCGTGGGGCACTGGGTTCGATCTTCAGCACCACATAAAAATAAAATAAAGATGTTGTGTCCACCAAAAAAAACTAAAAATTAAATATTAAAAACTTCTCTCTCTCCCTCTCTCTCTCCCCCCGCCTTAAAAAAAAGAACAAAATCCTATCATTTTCAACAATGTGGATGGATTTGAAAAAGTCAAACTCATAGAAATTAGTTTTAATTTATTGTGGTTAAAGAAATATCATATGTTTTATGATTTCTGTTCTCTTAAATGTGTTGAGGTTTGTTTTGTGGCCAAAGATATGGTCTATCTTGTTATATTTTTCATGGGTACTTGAAAAAAGTGTATTCTGCTATTGTTGGAAGGATTGTCCTATAATGTTGATTAGATCCTGTTGAAGTCCTACTCTCTTGCTCCTTTTTTTTTAAGATATTAACAACTTGAAAATTAAGATTTGTCGTATAGTCCCAGCAGTGCTTGATCTCTGTTTCGTTTTATTCAGTCTATTTTCTTTCTGTTGTTTGAGTAGGTAATTTCTGTTGTCCTGATTAGGTGATTTCTATTGTTCTGTTTTCCAGTTTGGTGATACATTCTCTTCTCCTCTCCATTCACCCATGAAGTCCATCTGCTGAACTTATATCAGTTAT